GTGGCGGGGTGCCTGCTGAGGCAGCGAGGAGATGGGGGTGGCCTGTGGTCCTCTGGGGTCCACGGGGCGAGGGGCTTTCCAGTCACAGTGTCTCGGGGGGGGGGGGGGTGCAGTCAGGAGTACAGCAGCCGCGGCTCCTCCAGGGCTGATCGTGGCCTTTGTGTCTCTGCAGAAATCCGCCCTGATTGTGCAGGGGCCCCGCGAGGTGAAGAAGCGGGAGCTGGTCTTCCTCCAGTTCCGCCTGAATGAGAGTAGCGAGGACTTCAGTGCCATCGATTACCTCCTCTTCTCGTCTTTCCAGGAGTTCCTGCACAGGTGGCCTTTCAAGTCCGCAGCGGGCGGGCCCATCCTGGGGCGGGGGCGGGCACTGCCCAGGGGACTGACCTGGAGCTCAGTGGCTCGGGGACCTGCCTTCACAAAGCGCAGCAGGTCCGATGTGGGGCGCGTTCGGACTCGTGGGCTGAGAGCCTTGGTCCTGTCACAGCCGGGACCTTGTGCACCCCCCGAGTCGCGGGCCAGGTCTCCCCCTCAGTGTCAGCCCTCAGTGTGTGTTTGCCATGTGCATTTAATATGGGGGGTTGTACTTAGGCAGTAGTCACTTGATTTAAATATTATGAACACCCATGAAATAGGGGCACACAAGGAGGGTTGTCGGCACAGAAACTACGTTGAAGGCTGTTACCGCCTTGCAGCTCTCCGGGTGATGCTTAGTCTTCTCCAGCGGTTCGCGATGTGGCTCCTTGCGGTCCAGCCGTCAACTGGGAGGGGTCTGGCCTCTCTGGACGCCAGGCCCCCAACCCAAGCAGCAGGGGGAGGTGAGGCGGGGGGTGGGAGAGATCGACAGGGAAGCACAGGAGAGCTCCCGTGGGGAAGGGGGGCCGTGGCGAGCTCACGGCAGCTGGGGGGCAGCTGGGGGGCGCCAGTGAGGCCCGCTGGGGGCGGCCTGTGGCATGTGGTGCCTCTGCAGGCCCCGAGGGAGCTCCTTGGTTAGAGGCATCTGTGTGCTCCATTAGCCCCCTGATTGGGCCTTGGTGAAGGTCCTCCATGGCCGTGCCTGGAGTGGACATCGGAAAATAAGCCCCCAGCTCCCCACACTCCTGCCGCTGAGGACTTGGAGGTTGGCTTGTCATCCGGCTCCCACCCCTGCCCCCTTTGTTTGCAGTGCGCTGTCTGGGAAATGGGTGGGCTTCAGGCTGTTTGCATCCTGGCCAGTCTGTGTGCAAGCGGCCCACCGGGGGCCTCCTCTGACCTACTTCATCAGACTTCCGATTCTCATGTTGCCTAGGCTCCCTTGTGCCCTCAGTTTGGTGCACTTTTACCAGATTAGGGCCACCGCCGTCCCAGCCTGTAGGACCCATTCCATTCCTCACTGCCTGACGTGTTCCTGGGGTCCACATGGTATGCCCTTGCCCCCTTTCAGTTTGTTCCCAGAGCATTCCAGTTCCAGAAGTAGCTTGTGTGTTAGGCACAGACTAGGCCGAGCTGCTGGGCAAAAACACCCCAAACAGACACTGTGGCCGAGACCAGAGAGAAGTCTGGAGCCAGTCTTCTGGAGCTTCTTTGGAGCCAGTCGGGTGTGCGGGCGGTGGGGGCGCCGGGGGCGGTCAGCGATGGCTTCTGTCTGCCACTCTGCTGTCCGCAGGGCAGGCTCTTGGGCCTCGTGGGCAGCCCTGGCTCGCCGTGACGGGCACGTGCGGACTCGCTTGAGTCACTTCTGTGCGCGTTCCAGGAACTTCATCATGTGACGGCAGCCGGGGCCAGAACGGAGGCCCCAGCAGGGTGGCCGTGCCCCCGAAATCCGGGATTGGGGAAGTGGTTCTGGTTCTCCAGGAGGAAGTGGATGGTGGGAACAGTTAGCTTTCTCTGCCGCCCCTCGACATGTCACGGAAAGGTTGAGATTACAATGGACAGAGATCTCTTGGGAAAATGCAAAAAGAGGCAGGCGTGAGGGGCGGCTTCGCATCAATCGAACTGGAATACTAGATGCAAAGGGCTCCAAGAAGGTTGGTTAATACGGATAAAAAAAAATACAGGACTCTCCACTAAGATGTAACAGTCAGAAATCTGTGTATGCAAAACAGCATTCCACTTGTATATTTTAGGCAAAGCCCGTTAGAAATAAAAAATACCCGTCGCCTTAAAGGGTGACTAAATTCGTACTTTTCTCTCTCATGTCCACAGATCAAACAGATGCAAAGGAGTAAGGATAAGAACCGAACAGCACAATTCATAAATTAAGAGTGAGCGTGTGGAACACTGTGCTTGACGGTGCTCCCTCTTCAAATGTCTGTAGAGCATTGATCAAAGTTATTGATGTAAAGATTTTTTCCCCCCAAGTTAATCTATAAATCCAGTGTCCTCAGTTGATTTTTTCATGGAATTTAACAATCTAGTTTTAAAAAGTCCTCTTAGAAGAGCACCTGTGCAATGATCACCCTGCCGGGTTTGGGGGTGGGGAGCAGCGCCGCAGACCTGCCCGGACAGATGGCAGAACAGTGTAAACCTGGGGGTCAAACCTGTGTCTGTCTGTTGCCTGGGAAGCAGGAGGTAGATCCCTATTTCACACCAGATACAAAACTGAAAGCCAGGCATATGAAGTGCCTGAATGTAAAAACATTTAAAAAGTGTTATAAAATACAGGAGAGGGGCTCCTGGGTGACTCAGTCGGTTAAGCATCTGACTCTTGATTTCGGTTTAGGTCACGATCTCAGGGTCGTGAGATCAAGCCCCGCGTCAGGTTCTGGGCTCAGTGGGGGGTCTGCTTGGGATTCTTTCTTTCCCTCTGTCTCTGCCCCTCCTCCCTGCCCACCCCCCGCCCCGTGCGTGCTCTCATGCACATACTCTCTCAAAAAGCAAAAAATTTTGTTGATGTAATTTTGGTTTTCCTTGGCAAGAAAACTCAGAGCCATAAAGAAAAAGATATATAGATATCACTGTATTAAATTTAAAGCTTCATGTAACAAATGACATTAGAAACAAAGTTGATGGAAAAGTGACAGGCTGGAAGAAAACATTTGTACATGTAATGGATGTAAGCTAGCATCCTTTTTGTTAAGTAGAGCAAGCATGCATCAGCAGGGGAGGGGCAGAGGGAGAGGGAGAGAATCTCAAGCAGAGTCAGGGAGCCTGACTCATGCTTGATCTCATGACTCTGAGGGACCCTGTGGCAGGTCTGAGATCATGACCTGAGCCAATGTCAAGAGTCAGATGCCCAGCGGACTGAACCATCCAGGCGCCCCACTAGTGTCCCTTCGCAGTAGAGGACTCCCCTAATCTCTTGGGAAAATGCAAAAAGAGGCAGGCGTGAGGGGCGGCTTCGCATCAATCGAACTGGAATACTAGATGCAAAGGGCTCCAAGAAGCCAGGTTAATACGGATAAAAAAAAATACAGGACTCTCCACTAAGATGTAACAGTCAGAAATCTGTGTATGCAAAACAGCGTTCCACTTGTATATTTTAGGCAAAGCCCGTTAGAAATAAAAAATACCCGTCGCCTTAAAGGGTGACTAAATTCGTACTTTTCTCTCTCATGTCCACAGATCAAACAGATGCAAAGGAGTAAGGATAAGAACCGAACAGCACAATTCATAAATTAAGAGTGAGCGTGTGGAACACTGTGCTTGACGGTGCTCCCTCTTCAAATGTCTGTAGAGCATTGATCAAAGTTATTGATGTAAAGATTTTTTCCCCCCAAGTTAATCTATAAATCCAGTGTCCTCAGTTGATTTTTTCATGGAATTTAACAATCTAGTTTTAAAAAGTCCTCTTAGAAGAGCACCTGTGCAGTGATCACCCTGCCGGGTTTGGGGGTGGGGAGCAGCGCCACAGACCTGCCCGGACAGATGGCAGAACAGTGTAAACCTGGGGGTCAAACCTGTGTCTGTCTGTTGCCTGGGAAGCAGGAGGTAGATCCCTATTTCACACCAGATACAAAACTGAAAGCCAGGCATATGAAGTGCCTGAATGTAAAAACATTTAAAAAGTGTTATAAAATACAGGAGAGGGGCTCCTGGGTGACTCAGTCGGTTAAGCATCTGACTCTTGATTTCGGTTTAGGTCACGATCTCAGGGTCGTGAGATCAAGCCCCGCGTCAGGTTCTGGGCTCAGTGGGGGGTCTGCTTGGGATTCTTTCTTTCCCTCTGTCTCTGCCCCTCCTCCCTGCCCACCCCCCGCCCCGTGCGTGCTCTCATGCACATACTCTCTCAAAAAGCAAAAAATTTTGTTGATGTAATTTTGGTTTTCCTTGGCAAGAAAACTCAGAGCCATAAAGAAAAAGATATATAGATATCACTGTATTAAATTTAAAGCTTCATGTAACAAATGACATTAGAAACAAAGTTGATGGAAAAGTGACAGGCTGGAAGAAAACATTTGTACATGTAATGGATGTAAGCTAGCATCCTTTTTGTTAAGTAGAGCAAGCATGCATCAGCAGGGGAGGGGCAGAGGGAGAGGGAGAGAATCTCAAGCAGAGTCAGGGAGCCTGACTCATGCTTGATCTCATGACTCTGAGGGACCCTGTGGCAGGTCTGAGATCATGACCTGAGCCAATGTCAAGAGTCAGATGCCCAGCGGACTGAACCATCCAGGCGCCCCACTAGTGTCCCTTCGCAGTAGAGGACTCCCCTAGCACAGGCCACCACTGAGAAAAGTGGATGGAGGACAGTTGCTCTCAGCTCTGGTCTGGCTCGTACCCAGAGGGCCAGCCTGTGGGGCTGAGCAGGGGTGAGCACGGACAGCAGCAGGGGTGGCCTGTGGTCCTCTGGGGTCCCGGGGCGAGGGGCTTTCCAGTCACAGTGTCTCGGCGGGGGGGGGGGTGCAGTCAGGAGTACAGCAGCCGCGGCTCCTCCAGGGCTGATCGTGGCCTTTGTGTCTCTGCAGAAATCCGCCCTGATTGTGCAGGGGCCCCGCGAGGTGAAGAAGCGGGAGCTGGTCTTCCTCCAGTTCCGCCTGAATGAGAGTAGCGAGGACTTCAGTGCCATCGATTACCTCCTCTTCTCGTCTTTCCAGGAGTTCCTGCACAGGTGGCCTTTCAAGTCCGCAGCGGGCGGGCCCATCCTGGGGCGGGGGCGGGCACTGCCCAGGGGACTGACCTGGAGCTCAGTGGCTCGGGGACCTGCCTTCACAAAGCGCAGCAGGTCCGATGTGGGGCGCGTTCGGACTCGTGGGCTGAGAGGCTTGGTCCTGTCACAGCCGGGACCTTGTGCACCCCCCGAGTCGCGGGCCAGGTCTCCCCCTCAGTGTCAGCCCTCAGTGTGTGTTTGCCATGTGCATTTAATATGGGGATGAAAGTTCCCATCTGCCCGGGGGGCGGGGGGGGGTGGTGCGGGGGGACCCGCCAGCCCCTCTCTGGGGCCCGGAGTGCTCGTTGGGACTGTGAGCGTTTTCTTCACGTGCCCGAGCCGGCGTGACCCCGGCCTCCAGGTCGCGCAGAGCCCGGGGCCCCGTTGAAGGGAAGTGGGGTGGCAGTCACCACGGAGGAGAGTCCGTTCCCCTGCCTGAGGCCGTGGGCCACCTCCCCCCGCTCACACACCCCTGCTCCGTCCTTCCATTTCGGAGCTTGGAGCCTTGGCTGGGGCGTCTTCCATCCTGTCTGCCCCCCACCCCCCCGCACTCCCTCCACCCTCCCCGCGCAGAGCTGCTGGCTGCACAGGTGCCATGGGTGTCCTGTCTGGTGAGGTCCCCCTCACTGGGCCTCTCAGGAGGAGGCTGGCGGGTGCACCTGCGTTCTCGGGGCCAGTGCTCTGGGAGCAGGTGGGAAGGAGGAGGGACCTCCCCCACGGGGGGCCGCCTCGAGGTGGGTGGCAACTCTCCCTGCATCTGCAAATCCAGATCGGAGCTTGGAAAGGAGGCAGGAAGTGGGCAGCATCGTGGTGGTGCCAGCCAAGAAAGCGGCTCCAAGTAGGGGCTGGGGTTTGAGTCTGGCCGAGGTTGAGTCCTGCTGTTGGCCTCACTGGGCCCGCCCTTCTCTGCCTTCCAAGCCCAGACAGGGTGGGCTTCATGCAGGCCTGTGAGAGCGCCTATTCCAGCTGGAAGTTCTCCGGGGGCTTCCGCACGTGGGTCAAGATGTCCCTGGTGAAGACGAAGGAGGAGGACGGGCGGGAGGCGGTGGAGTTCCGGCAGGAGGTAGGTGGCACTGGCTTCGGGGTCCGCCGCCGGCCGCCTCCAGCCTTGACTCGGGGGTGGAGAGCGGCTTTGTGGAAGAGATGACCTCTGGGCGGTCTTCAGAGTGGGAAGGGACCCCGTGGCAGGGGGGATTCGTGTTCCCCAGGCCCTTCCGTGGGCCACTGTCGGTCCTCAGCAAACACGTGGGCCAAGCAGAGCAGGTGACTGGCCCCGCACGGCCCGGGTTCTTGGCCCTCAGAGGCTGCCGGCCGCATGGAAGACAGGTGATGTGCAGGGAAGAGACCAGATCCGGTGGCCTCTGAAGGTTGTACGCATGAGGATCCGTTGGGATGCGGGGCGGTGGGGGTGGGGGGATACTAGCTTTCTTCTTGTATTAATTTCTTTATCATCCTTTTTCTATTTTTTAATATTTTGAAAGGTGTGTCACGTTAGAACAGTAATAATCATGTCACATCACTTCTGAAAAAGTCACGTATATGTTGGATATATGCTCAAAATGTGATCCTAACGGGAAGTGCAATTGAAAGCTTTCCGCCCCCTGGCCTGGAGCCCTGGGATGCGCCCGGGGTTTCTAGCCACGGCCCCGGCGATAGATGGGAGAGGAGCCGGGGAAGAGGCCTGGCAGTGGGGGTGGAGGGAGAGGGCGTCTTGGTTGCCGCAGCGGGGCTGTTTCCGTCAGCTGCCGCTGAAAGCAAGGCTGCACCCCTACCTTTGGGACTTCCACTTTGGCTGTGGCTGCCTCCCTGCCCACATCCACACTCAGAGCCAGCCATCCTGTGTATCAGTGGCGGGGTGCCTGCTGAGGCAGCGAGGAGATGGGTCTGTTCTAGAAACCTCTGTTCCTCCCTGGAGATGTTGCAGTGGGCTGGACTCTGAGGGGCAGCATCGGGAAGGGTCTGGGTTGGAGTAGAGGGACCGACTCCATCGATGCAGCTGTCACTGGCCAGAAGCCAATGCCCCTTCCCTGCCTCTGGGTCCTCAGACTACTCCAGATTAGAGACCTTTGGGAAGGGCTTGAAGCCGGTTTTCTTCAAGAGGACAGGCTTTTTTCCTGCCCTGGGATGTGGCAACTCCCCTGGCAATGGGTCCTTAAAGTATTCTAGTTTGTCAGATAACTGTCACGTTCTGGAGTTTTCCTGCACACTTTTCTCCAAGAACCCCAGGACCTTCCTCATCTGGCCCCACAGTGGCTGAGAAAAGGAGACTCGATACGTGCACTTTGCAGTTAGGTACAGCCTGCCTACCCGGCTCCCCCGCAGCTCCCCCATGATCGGAACCCAAAGGGGCCAAAGGCCCAGTGAACCTATGTATTTTAGAATGTTTGTGCCGTTCGGTATTGTCTAAACTGGAAGCCTTTTGGTGGGTGACGTGAACTCTTTTGAACAAAGTTTAAAAGTTTTTTTATAGAGTGTTTTAAAGTTTAAAATCCTTAATGTATATATTGTCTTCTTTGATCCTGACCGCCCCTTAGTGGTGTCGGCACTTTGCCGGCTGTGTGGCAAGGGGCTAAGTGAGGCTCAGCTCAGGGGGTGGACACGGCCCTTCGGCTGCACCTGGGCTTCTGCCCCTGGAACCTGTTTGCTCTCCGTGACACCAGGCAGAGTTTCTAGTAATTGATAACCAGATCTTACCAAGCACACCTACTAAATATTTACAGGGAATGCTCAGCCGGGTGGGTCTGTGAGGTTGAACTTTGTCCCTATAGACCTGAAGGGTTGAAATACTCCGCTTTTAAGATCAAGTATTTTGAAGTTTGAGGTTTCTGTGGCTTCTAATTATGCCTTAACATGATACTCTGAGTATGGTTTAATCATGAGTCCAGATACATAATGACTGTTTTGGTGATTCTCCAGAATACCTATTGTACATCCGGATCCTATTCATTTCCCCAAAGAGCTGGAAACCAGGGTAAAGTCTCGGCTCTGGTACAAGTGTCAGGATGTTGTTTATGAGATTTCTGGCTTTCTCCGTCCAGAAGATGGTATGAAGAGAACCAAGGTCCAAGATCCCCTAACTACCCTCTCCTTTCCTGCCACCCAGGCTAGGGAGGGGCACAGAGGTGGTAATACTGCTATCTTTTCTTTGTACCTAGACCAGTGTGGTTAACTACATTGACCAGAGGCCCGCCGCCGAGAAAACTGCTCAGTTGTTTTTTGTGGTCTTTGAATGGAAAGATCCTTTCATCCAGAAAGTCCAAGATGTGAGTATTACTTCAGGTTACAAGAGCAGACTCCCTGCGCTGGGGTATTTTGACTCATCCTTGCAGGCTGTCCTTGTCTCCTTTCATGGCACAAATTAGTTTGTCATTTCTGACATTCACGTCCTGTGTTAGTTGTGTTTCATTGGCCTTGCCATCACTATACAGTTGGCCCCGTGAAGGTGGGGACTTCATCTTTTGTTCACCATCGTTTTATTCTGCCATCTGGCAGAGTGCTCGGTACAGAGTACTTGCTTGGTAGTAATGTTAAGTGAATGAGCAGAGTAGAAAGCATGGATCGCATTAAGCTAATGTCTAGATGACGGCTATTGGAAGCCGTTCTTTTTTAATGGGTCTCTGTTGGATAATCCTTATTTGTTGTCAGAGCAGGAAGGTACAAATAAAAATTAACAGTGTGTCAATTAATGGCAGGTTCTCAGCCTCAGTCTGGGAGGGGGTTGGGGAAGAATGATGGGATGGCTTTGCTACAGGAACATTCCAGGGAGACACCATCCACCAGAGCCAGGCCCCGATCTAATACTGATTGGCATTTAGATAATCCCAAAGTGTCCTGAAGTCGTGGCTTCGGGGAAGCACCTTCCGTGGCCGAGACCCAGACGTGGAGGGTCCCTGTGACATGAGCTCCTCCATAACCTCCCCCGCCCCCCCGGGAGGTGTGGACTGGCAGGGCCATGTGCACAGGGGCGTGTGCAGTGTGCTGGATCTGGGTTCCAGGTGGAAGAATGGACGCCTTCAGCTCGACACGTACAAGTGCGTGATGAGACATTTTCCACTTAGGCTGTTACTCAGTAGGTGTCCATCGGGCCAGGGAAAGGCCACGCTCAAAAGAGGCCTGCTTTTCTCGAGTGGTCACTCAGCTGCTTCGCAGCCCCGAACAGCGGCGCTGGTGTAACCGTTTTGTGTCTGTGAGCCCTGAGGCTCCAGTTGGCCACGGTCACCCTGCTAAACTGACTTCCCATGCTGGGGACTCAGAAACCAGGGCTGAGACCTCGGCCTAGAAGCGTTTAACATTTAGCGAGAGCTGTGAAGGGACTCGTTGCAGACAGTAAGTAGCTGCTGGAGGGGTTTGTGGGGTAAAGGTCTCTGCCGAAGTGGAGAGGGTTTTGGCCCCCAAGGAGCCATGCAGGGTCGGTGCACTTGGGTAGCAAGAAAGCAGTGCAGGCATCAGAGGGCACAGCCTAGGGGCAGGAGTCCAGGACGTGAGACCGTCACTGGACCGGGTGGAGGACAAGTTTGCATCACTGAGAGATGGGAAGAAAACAAGAGGAACTGACCTGATGCAGTGAGTACAGTTTTGGGGGAAATCTGTCTCAAAGCAAGTTCCCTTACTGTGGATGAGGCCAGAAATTTAAGCCTCAGTACTGAATATCTAATTTGTGCAAGAGTTTTAAGAAGCTTTTCTCCCCCCCCCCAGGATCCGTTTATGGTAGGAAGGGATTAGTATTTTTCTTCTCATACTTGAGCTCTGTACCTTCAAGGTATAGTCGGAACGAAGTACAGTCATGGCAGTTTTAGGACCCGGCTGTTTTTCTTCTCACTCCCATCATTTGGGGTAGGAGGCCCTTGACAGTAATGCTGATATGACCTAGGAGTCAGAGTTGAAGCACACTGAGAAGCTTGTGTTTGTTGCTGTTTTCCAGATAATCACCGCCAATCCTTGGAACACAATCGCCCTTCTCTGTGGGGCCTTCTTGGCATTGTTTAAAGCAGCAGAGTTTGCCAAACTGAGTGTGAAATGGATGATCAAAATTAGGAAGAGATACCTTAAAAAAAGAGGTCAGGCAGCAAACCACATAAGCTGAGGTGACCTCGTGGTGTTCGTAGAACTGCCCCCGGTGATGGAAGTTCTCGCCACTTCTGTTCTGGTCCACCGAGCAACTGGTGGCCCTGTGCTCACTTGAAACGAGCCTCTGCTGCGAAAAGCAGCCTGCCAGACCGCAGCTTCGACCCTGGCCCCAGAAGAGGATGTTTAGAGCCTAATGGAACAGAGCCAGTGGATAACCTAAAACCTATTTAAGTATTTAAATTATTAACAAACATTTTTGGACATATGAATAGGGATTGTGGACGATGGAATTAGATATGTATCAGGTTTTCTGAAGGTTTGTGAAGCTGCCTTATTTGGTTTGGTGTCTAGTTAAGCTCTAACGGGATAATTAAGGCTCTACATTTCACCTTAGTCTCCCCCCCGCCCTGCCCGCCCAGGGTTTTTTAAGTGGACAGAAGAGAGCGTGATTTTCTTTTTCCCCAAATCCTGACGATGCAGATGTACAGGTTATGCGTTGAAGCCTCTGCACCCTGTACCCAAAGGCCGAATCCCTTATGTCTCTGGCATCATCTGCCAGTTACGTTATCTGGCCTCTGACATGCTCTTTCATTTGTTAAATTTTAAAATGGGACTTTTTTAAAGCTACTAGAAACTAGTGCTAAGCTTTCTTGTGGATTGACTAGCCCCCTGTCTGGCTAGAATATTTGTTGATGCAGGTGTAAGAGTGCAAAGTGATTAACCTGCAAAAGCACTGGGACATGTGTACAGAGGAGGTGCCTACTCTGTATTTTGATGATTTTATTAACAGGTAAATAAAAGTTAGGTTAATGCAAAAGGACTCCGTGTGCCAGTATGAATATCTGCTAAATTGGTAGACACCAGTACGCTTTCATTTTGTGACCTCCAAATAAGTGGCCACGTGAGCTTGGACTCTCAAGATGGATGGATCTGGACTCCCGAGGTACGTCATGACTGGGTCCAAGGAAGGGTAGGTGGCCCAGTCAGGAAGAGTGACAGATCTACTTTGTTCTCCGGGTTCTGTTCCTGTCCTACCAAAGCACCCATCTGAGAAAGGGGTCGCTCAGTGTGACCCTCAAAGCCTTCAGCCTAGCTTTTGACAGAGATGAGTACTCAGTATTTTTTACATGGTAGCAATGGGGTGATTTAAGGTTATGAAAATTGTCTCCAGAGTTTCAAATTATTTACATGCCCTTTGCTTCCAAAGAGGACTTGGAAACACTTCCTGCATTTTATAACCTGGCTTTAGGTAATTTAAAGAGGAAAAACTCAAACGTACAAGTGGGGCATTCTTACCTCATGTCTAACTTAGCAAGACACTGTTACTTGAATTACTAAAGATAAACTTGTGCAAAGAATTCCCTGGTACTTTGCTATGCCACAGAAGCATGCACAAACGTGAGCCTAGATCTTGTCTCTCTGTAAAGTCTTTTTTGTAAGGCAAATGCAAAGCCAGGTGTAGCTTACCTTAACAGTACTGGAAAACACGTGTCTGTGTGTGTTAAAGTATCTCTGAACATGACACACCACTTTAGTATTACTTAATAAAATTTGCTCATATAAACATACTAAAACTGCATTTCCTGTGTTGTGGAAAGTTGAGAGACATCTTACATGTGCTTTAAAATAAGTAGTTAGGAAGTGAGCATTTTTAGCTTGTCAAAAAAAACTTTACAGCCGCAGCCTGCCCGAATCCACTGTGGCTGTTCAGTGAAAGAAATACATAAACCTTCCACTAACGAGACAGACCTAACCTTTACTTTCTGGAAAGGTAGGCTGGCCTTTGTGTTCTGTGGTAGGATCACCCTTGCCTTCCTGTGCTGCCCCCCAGCGGTAACACTGGCTGGCCTTGGGTTAGTGCGGAGGTTTTGGCAAGAGCATGTTGATCCGGGTGGCCGAGATAAGGTGGCTATTTGAGACACTAAAATATGAGCCATGTACCAAAGGAAAGAGTTTCTCCTGGGGCCGCAGTGAAAGGAGTTGCTTTTACAGTGACCTAGGAATCGTGTGCAGGACCCAGGCTAGACTTTTTCATGAATGCAAAAGAGTGGGAAGTTTACAATTATGTCTAATTTCTGACTGTGCCACAATTTCTCTGGACCTCACCTAGGGAAGTGTTTATTACAAATTCTGAGATTTTTAATTACAACTGACATTTAAGATAATTTGAACCTATTCTCTGAACACAGACATGAAGGAAGATGAAAGGATATCCTAAAACTTAGAATTTTCTACAGGTGTTCTATAGAACAGATGTACTCTGGTAAGTGGCTTGCAATGGTCATGTATGTCTACATGAATATAAGGGACAGCAGGCTGCTTCTGGATGGCTCACCTTAGAGCTGGAAAAAGCAAACACAACATAGGCAAAATACAAACATAGACTTTATTAAATGCTGCTCAATCCCCCAATGAAGATCTTCCATTACAAAACAGTTTTCCACACAACTGCAAGTAAAGAGATTGGAATGGTACTCATAACAAAAGATGTGAGAAATACTTGACTAAGTGAAAACATACAAGACCTCTCTATAGTCAAGAACTCTACAGGGGAAGCCTACTGCATTTCCTTTAAATAAAGCTAGGCAGTGACAGTGAGCGTTCTGCGTCACCACATTGTGGGACTCAGAGCCTCCTTCCCTGGGTCAGGAGGGACTGGAGGAAGGGCAGGTTGTGAGGACTGGAAAGGTCCTGCCTTCAGCCTTTGGGAGGAAGAGGAGGAATGAACTGAGAGGCGGGCTCAGGGTTCACCTGTGCTGCCCCTATGAATCTGGGCTCATGGCTCGGGGGGGGGGGGTCGCAGATGAAAGGGGGATATTCATGAGGAACAATCTGAAGAATCTGGTTTACTTTCCCAGCTTTTATTTATATTTTGTGCTTTAAAAAGTCTGGAGATTTAAGTTTCTGCTCAAATTCCAGAGTGCAGTAATAGCTCTGATGAAGGAAGGCTTAGGGCAGGTAACTCCCCCCATCATATTATTTCTGGGAGTAACAAAGCAAAGAGTAAGGATTATACCTCAGTTTTATTTTAGGAAATGTTCTTTTTCCCAGGATGTAACTGAGGTCTGCAGCAGTGTGAAAAGCACATTATAAAAGGGAAAAATACACAGAGCAAACTACTATATCTATGTGCAACACAATTCAAGTCATAATTCTTACCACTCCCATAATTATCTCACTCATATCATAGAGGATACAGTTCATTCATTTCTGTGAAACTTCAGAAGTGACACAATAAATCCATGATTAGACAAAGGTCACAGTATACCGTGGCCATGATACAGCACAGGGCTATGTTTAGTCCATATTTTTCATTTACACTTGCCAGAAAAAAAGTTGGCCTTTTAATTATACTGAGGTTTGTTTCATAATTTTTACATATTTCAAAAAAGTGTACAAAACTGCCTATCCAACAGAGGTGGTGGGCTTTTTTTATTCATCACTTGTATTGCTGAGAATACTGTGCATGTTGTAAGCACTGTTCTGCTTTTCCAGAGCTTTCTTTAGCTTTAGCTCCTCTAATTTTTTCCATAATTCTTCACGTTCCAATTCCTTCTTTTTCTCTCTGTAGATAAACCAAAATTTTTGTAGTCAGAAACCTCTAATTTAGAGCCTGAAGAAACTTGCTGTTTGGCAGTGTGCTGGGGAAACATATTATTCACCCACATTTCACTTCAATCCCTTTACTAAAGCATTTGAGGCCAATTACCTGAAACACCTAATTATTCTCTACGTCACTCTCCTGAGTGATTACTGCCTCTGTGCATCTCCTGTACCAACTCAGAGATACTCCTTGCTTTCCCCTACATATTCCCACATCCACGACTGCTATGGTCATTTGTGCTTTATTACATTCACTCTCCCACCTAACCCTCTTACAGCCAGGAGAGCTGTGATGGTCGTCCTTTTATGGAGACTGAAGGGTGGCTATGAGGTCAGCCTGGAGCCACTTCCGGGTGGAATCATCTCTCTAGCCACTAACTAGTTTGTATCTTTGATGTCAAATGAAAACTGAAGTTTGAAAAGAGAAAAAAAATTCAAAATATTTTTTGTTTCAACTATTTAATTTCAATTCTAAGGAAAACGCTTCTGAATAACTTGGACGAAACTGTTCTGAAGGACTATATGAACATCCCTCAGATGTTTCTGCAGATATGATGATTATTTAGTCATGTGAAATATACAAGTTTCATGTGACCCTAATTACCTTTCTTGCTTCCTAAGGTTTAAACTATGTACCTAATTTCTTTTCCTGCCTGAAAGGTGCTATTTTTTTTTTTTTTCAAGAGTTACTGATGGGCTAGGATGGCCCTGAAGAAGAGCTATCCTTGTTCTATTTGCCACAAGAAAATCCTGATTAGGAATTTATAGTCAAAAGAGATCAGCTTTTCCAAACAACAGGTGATAAACTTCTTAGAAATAAATGGTAGTTATTATCCTCAAAAGATGGGTTGACTCAGGTAGAGTGGTTACTGCCTGCCTGATGTTTGAAATAAATAAGAAAGTGATTTGTAGAAGATTATTTTATATATGAAGTTCTCCAAAAGAGGTGATCACTTAGGCAGGTTTGTAAATGTAAATGCTACCATCTCTAAAATATTTACTGTTGCAAGGAACAAAATATCAATAGTACTGAGCCAGAGGCATACCCATTATGTGAGCTCCCGCTGACCAAAAAAGAACTATGCTGAACTTTAAGATACCACTTTAGTAAAATGGGCAACTTAAAACTACCAAACTGTTGTGCAGAGCAGTGGAAGAGTAAAGCTCACTATGGAAGCCCATCTGGACAAACGATTTTCATAAATACAATGATCAAGTTGTATAAATTTGGCATAAATTGTATTTCATGATGCAGATGCTACCAGACCAATGAAGTCTAAGGCTCAGAATGAGATAAACAGGATTTATAATCCACATTAAAACTGTCATCTAACCAGTAGGGGAAGTTTTCTATTTGGAAATGAGTTTGAGCATTACAACTTGAAAGTCTCTAATGTAACTGACTTAAACATTATAATTTTAACTTAGGCAAGATACTTTATTGGACTGAATCCCATTCAACTAACCTAAAATGCATCAATAACTTGGTAATTAAAAATACCAAATACCTTTGTCTTTCAGCTTTGTATGAGCTAGTAAGGTCATCGAAGAGCTTGCCATTCATTTCCATTAGGGTTTTCAGCACGTTGTATACCAGTGCTACAATGGTCCTAAAATGAAAATAAGCAGTGTTGGGTCACAGGAAATGTAACATTATCATCCCTAAATGGTGGCTGATTCACTTAATCCATTTTGGAGATGATAAAGTGCAAGAGGTTTAATAGTTTGTTCAAGGTCACATAGACTGGTGACAGAGATGATTCAAAATTCACATCTG